TCACATAGCAAAAGGGATTTGGCAGGTGTGATTTGAGTTAAGATGGGAAAATTATACCAGATTATCCAGGTGGTTCCAATGTAATCACAAGTGTTCTTATAGGAAGGAGGCAGGAGCATCAGAGTAGGAGGAGATGTGGCAATTGTGGGAGCGGGAGGGTGGGGGTGCGGGGAGTGGAGATTGGAAGGCATTACACTACTGGCTTTAAAGATAGGGGATGGGGCCACGAGCCAAGGAATGCAGGTGGCCTCCAGAATCCAGAAAAGGCAAGGAAATGAACTCTCCCCTAGAGTCTGCAGAAAGAACACACTACTGCTCATAGCTGGATTTTAAGCTTTTGACTTTCAAAACTGTAAGATAACAAATTTGTGTGGTTTTACATGCCATGAAATTTTTGGTCAGTAGGAAACAATACAATCATGGAAACACAGTCACCTCTTATCCCACTACTGATAACTAGAGTTTGTTATTAGAGCCCACCATTAGTTGCACAATAGCATCTTTGGCTACTTTTTAAATCTATTAACCAATGCCATTTCACCCAGATGTGAGCCATTTAGCTCTCCTCCACTGGCATGGATCACTGAGCACCAGCTGTTTCAGAAGGACCAATGGACAAAATACAGAGATCATGTAGTCCCAACTCATTCCCAGACTGGTTGTTTGAATCCTTCTAGATCCAATATGCTTTTCTTTAAGATTTCCTGAGAGGGGGATGAGATGTCTTCTGCTTCCACTGATAGAAATACTTCTCATTTCAAAACACTTAGAATTAAAAAGTTGTCTAAGAGCTAGAATTGCTTTAGCTATAATTTTTTTATTCTGTCCTTGGTAAACGTGAAAGTTAAGAAACAGGATAATTAATAAATAAGATACGTATGCTTTTTATTAGGTTTTTCCTTTTTCTTTTTTTGTTTTTATAAATTTATAGGATAAATGGGACATTTTGTTACATGTATATAAATGTATAGTGATCAAGTCAGTGTATTTGATGTGTCCATCACTCAAGTACATATATTTTGTTAAGTATAGTCACCCTACTCTGCTATCAAACACTGAATTTATTCCTTCTGTCATACTGTATGCTTGCACCCTTTAGCCCAGTTCCTTTCCTTCTCCCACTCTCACCCTTCCCAGTCTCTGTTATTTATCTTTCCACGCTTTACCTTCATATGATCAAATGTGTTAGCTCCCACATATAAGTGAGAACATGTCGTATTTGTCTTTTTTGTACTTGGCTTATTTCACTTAAGATGACCTTCAGTTCCATACAGCATCCACGTTGCTGCAAATGACATGATATCATTATTTTGGAAGAATCCTAAAATTCATACGGAACCAAAAAAGAGTTGGAATAGCCAAAGCAATCCTGAGCAAAAAGAACAAAGCTGGAGGCATCATATTATCTAACTTATAATATATTGCAGGGCTATACTATACTAACCAAAGCAGCACGGTGTTGGTATAAAAATAGACACACAGACCAATGTAACTGAATGAAGAATCCAGGAACAAAGCCATATAGTTACAGCCAACTGATCTTCAACAAAGCAGATAAGAACTTATACCGGGGAAAGAACACCCTCTCCAATAAATGACACTGGGAAAATTGGATAGTCACATGCAGAAGAAACTGGATCCCTATCTCTCACCATATAAAAAATTCAATTCAAAATAGATTAAAGACTTAAACAAAAAACTTGAAATGATAAAAATACTGGAAGAAAACCTAGAGGAAACTCTCCTGGACATTGGTCTAGGCAAAGAATTTATGCTAAGATCTGAAAAGCACAGGCAACAGAAACAAAAATAGACAAATGGGACTATCTTAAACTAAAAAGCTTCTGCACAGCAGAGGAAACACTCAACAAAATGAAGAGACAACCTGTTGAATGGGAGAAAATATTTGCAAATTATTTATCTGCCAGGAGACTAGTAACCAAAATATACAAGAAACTCAAACAACTCAACAGGACAAAAGCAAATAACCTCATTAGAAAGTGGGCAAAAGACATGACTAGACATTTCTCAAAGGAAGACAGAGAAACGGCCAATAAGCATATGAAAAACTCCTCAACATCACTAATTGTCAGAGAAATGCAACTCAAAATGACAACAGGATATTATCTTTCCCCAGCCAGAATGGCTATTATTAAAAAGACCCCCCTCCCCCCAAAAAAATAACAGACGTTGATGAGGATGTGGAGAAAAGGAAACTCAAACTTTGCTGGTGGGAATGGAAACTAGTAGAGCCACTATGAAAAACAGTACACAGACTTCTCAAAAAACGAAAAACAGAATTACCATTGGATTCAGCATTCCCACTACTGAGTGTCTATCTAAGGAAAAGAAATCAACATATCAAAGGGATACCTGCACTCGCCTGTTTACTGCAACATTATTCACCACAGCAAAGATAGGGAATCAACCCACATGTCCCTCGACGGATGAATGGGTCAAGAAAATGTGATGGATATATATGCAATGGAATTTTATTCAGCCATAAAAAAATGAAATCAGGTTTTTCTTTCTTAAATGACTTCATTTCCCCCATCTTTACTATTTTCTTAGAAGTTTATCTGAATCTTTACCTATTTTGGATGTTATTCTGTTTTATATTCTGTCTGCCTATGTCTTAAAATTCGGAGCCATAAACCTGCTAGACAAAGTATACTAACCTTTCTTAACAGCAATGCAAAACATTTGTAAAACTTGGCTATGACCAAAGGAGTAAGAAGATGAGACAGAGAGGAAGGAGTTCCTATTTAAACTCTGGTTCTAGCTCTTGCTGTGTAATCTCAGTCAAATCACATCACCTCTCTGGGACTCTGTGGCATCATCTATAAAATAAGGAGCTTGGACTAAATATCCGGATACAGCCTAAAGTGTCCTAAAATAGCAGCATGAGGTATTTTGGTAATTCTATTGAGAAAGTAATCACTACTTGCTGGAACAATTGATAACTACTACCCAGTAGCTCTTCTACAAAGATAGCTGGCGGCATTGAGGCTTGATTGGATTTTTTGCAATCTGTTATTCCTGATGAAGCAAAGCTCAGGGCAGGAAAAGCCTGCGGTACCTTACAGGTACATTGAGTAGCACAGATTTCTGGAGGCTAATGGATGAAGACAGATGGGGGAGTAGAGAGGACAAATGGTGGGCCTGGAACACTGACGCTGTGCAGAGCCCCTGACGGTTTCTGAAGGGCTCTAGTGATCTCTTCCCTACACTATAATTAAGGGAGTCCACTAACACAGGAATTGTACTCATTCATGGCCCTTGGCAAGCTGTCATTCATCTCAGTATCACCAGTTCCCAGGCACAATAATCACCATTTAATAGTTTGCTCACAACATATGTGTTGGGTGACTGAATGAAGAACTTGCAATTAGCCTTTCTCATCTCAACTCTTCCATGAGGGCTGTGTGCTGGGGGTGTCCTTTACATCACGTCTTGCATAAATGGGGACCCTTGGAGTTAGGAAAACAGCGGCTCTGCCTCTGCCCAAGGGAGCAGTTCTGTCTCAGGAAATTGCACTCCTGGAATTTTCTTGACAGGAGATAATAAAAGCCTGAACTACTGGTAGCAGTGGGAATGGAAAGGAGAAAATAAGTGATTTATTTTAGAGTGGTTTGGGAGACACACAAAAATACTTTTGACTAGCCAAAGTAAAATCTTAACCTGATTTCTTTCCGATTTTCCTTTGGAGTGATTCATAAAAATCTGTTACATAAAAATGGAAGACTTGTCATGTATCTCCTGTTAAGTACAAGTCATTTTTATTGTGAACCTCATCCTCTGCCAGAAAAGTATATTGACCTCATTTTTCTACTTCAGAATCTGGTACTTCAGTCAATATCACACAATCTACAGCAATATTTTAAGAGAAAGACAACAGTAAGTCCCAAGGAATTCTCTTTATCATTTTTTAAATATAGAAGCGTGTTTTTGAGTCCTATCTTAGAGAAACATTTGCTAAAATTGCATTGACCACCTTTATTTTGATCACTTGTTTTCCAAATATAATTTAAGTGATGCAGAGAACTAATGCAAAGTAGAAGGCATTTTGATTGCTGAAACAAACATTGATTCACATGGAATATTTTGAAGCAATGCTCTTTCTATTAATATCTAAGTTTCCATTGCATTTTTTGGGAATGTACTTTAAAAAACCCAACCACTATAATCTTTCTAGAATTTAGCATATACATAAAGTAGTAAATAAAATCCTTCCAGTTGTAAAATATCAGATGATTAGTATTTACCGAAACAGACCAAAAAGTTATTGAGGAACGTGGTACAAATTTTGTTTAATATCTAACATAAAAGTACAGATAGCTAGCAAAAAAAAATTCTCTAGATTTATATTTTCTATTTAAGTGTATCACCTTGGGTATTAAACATGCTGCTAGCTATCGCTTAATGAGCACCTGAGCTGTCATTTTTAATAACAGACTGACAATTATTATCTATAGGTTGATATTTCCCTGAAAATCATTTGTGACTCTCAAGTTAATATAGTTAAGAATAGAAACTGACTATTCCATTTACTCAAATAGTATTATTTTATAATACTTGGCAGAATATTATAAAAAATAACATGAATATATATTCATAATAAAAAGTCAACATATGCCAAAATGCAGACATTCTCAATATGCAGCAGAACTTTACACAAAATCTAAATAATGCATTTCAGTTGCTCATTGTTTAAAAAGGTCATTTGGTCCACTAAAGCCGTAAGAGGAAAAAACACAGATCCAAGAATATAATAAAACAAAACAAACATCTAGGCTACTCTAATTTTGGTTATTTCCCAATTTAAAACAAGGCATGAGAGATGAATACCATAAAAATTCAAATCACATAATTCATCTAAGTACATGCACCATTAAAATATAATGCAAGTAAGTATGTAATAGCCTACTGTAATTCATAGGTTCCAGTATTGTGGAAATCCTACTTTATTTTTAAATAATGAATTTTGTTTAAAACAATACCTCTTCCACAAAGCTGTCTTTCTTCTCTAACATTTCTCGTAATGTCTGAAGAATTTTAATGCACAGTTTTTCTTCTTTCTCCATTAGTTTCTTTGTATGATTAATCAACCTTAAAGCAAAACATTAAACCTTTAGAAAGACAGTGATTTCTCTTCAAGCTATATACAAACATCAAAGGCTGTAGGGGAAAAAAAATCACACCATTATTTGAGAATATGAAGTAAACCAGTTACATGTTTTCAGAAGTTTTAAGATTACACTTCAGCTTATAAATTTTGTATTACAACACATTATTTTTGTTTTACAGGTAGTATATCTCAGGGCTTCTCAACCTTACTCAGGTGGCATTCTTTTAGTGGGATACAATACTCTGAGAAACATTGAAATACTAATATTATCACCCCAATATATGAACTAAAACAAATGTATTAGTACAGAAATATAAATATTTATATATTACATTTTATTATGTTATGTTACACTATATTATTTTTATGTACTGTATTACATTAAGCATACAGTAGCAGTGGCTGTATACAACTCTGCAATCGTAATATAACAGGCTGCTTTCCAGTTTCCATTCATAATAATATGCTATTTTTCACTGCCAGGGTTTCGTAGAAACAAGCAGTTTTTTTATTAAAAGCAAAAAACAAAACAAAAAAAAGTGACATCAAGACAATCTATCCATTTACCAGCTTTGGTATAATTTGGGCAAAAACTCCCATCATTTTAATCAAGTGGTACACTATGCACTGGTGCTCTGTTAGAAGAGTTTCAGGATCACCATCCCCAAGAACTTAAAAGCAAATAAATTTTCATTATCAGAATTGAGCTTATATAGCTATATATATAGCATATAGAGCTCATGTTGTTAAAAAGCTGATCCTCAAAATGACCCTGTGAGATGTCTTCCTCAAATGATCCAATTTCAGTGACATAACATGAGTACTGTGGGACATAACCCTGGGGAAAAAGTGAACTTTCACTGGTTAATAGCTAGCAAGTGCTTATCAGGTGTCAGGGTCAAGTGTAAGGACAGCCCAGGGACTCTCCTAATTTATCCTCACACCAAGCCCATGAGACAGGTTCAGACTAATTTTGCTCACGACATAACAGAGGCCCAGGGAGATACAGCAACTTACCTCTGGTTACATAAATTGTTAAGTGGCGAGACCCTCAAATGCACTCAGGTCCATCTGACCTCAGAGCCCAAATTCTTAAGAACGACTCTGTGGTGACAGGACTCAGGTCATTGATCTCCTGAGTCTCAGGGGTCTTGTGCAGAGTCCCCACACATGCTAGGCTGCACACAGCCCCCTGAATGAGCAAGTGCCACAACAGAGGCATTGGCAAATGCTGTGAACCACACATGAAACCACTTCATTCTGCTGGGGGGAGTTACCTAGGGCTGATCAAAGAAGGTTTCAGCGAAGAGATAGCATGCAACTAACGAAGATTTCACCTGTCAAGGAAGGCTCAGGAGAGGAGACATCCCTGCAAAGGGAATGGTATGAACACAGGGCAGAGGCAGAAACCTGGCCAGCATGTCCAGGAAATGAGAAGCATGCCAATTGCCCGCTGACACTTAAAGACCTGGAAGAGGAAAGTGTAAGAGATGTGGTTTGGAAAGAAGGGACTGGAATATTAACCTCAAGAGTCTTGAATGTTTTCTAGAGAAAATAGGGAACCACTGTTCTAAAGGACCTAAATGCCTCTTCCCACTGTGAGAAAGAGACCAATGAGGGCAGCGGGAAAGATGAAGCGGAGGAGACGGAGCAAGGCGAGAGAGCAGTGGCAGAGGTCGGGTGAGGACATAGGAAGCAAGAGAAGACCCACAGCAGAGACTTGTAAATGATGACATGTGGGAAGTGGAAGAGGAAGCAGGGCAGATCAGAGGCCCCTGAAATGTAGAGACTAGGCTAATATGTGAATGGTGATCAGTTTTTTTCAATTTTTAAAATTTATTTAATGAGACAGGGTCTCTGTCACCCAGGCTGAAGTGCAGTGATGTGATCATAGCTCATTGCAGCCTAGACCTCCTAGGTTCAAGCTATCCTCCCACCTCAGCCTCCTGAGCAGCTGGGACCGTAGGTATAGCCACCATGCCTGGCTAATTTTTTTTACTTTTTGCAGAGATAGGGTCTTGCTTTGTGGCCCAGGCTGGTTTCAAACTCAAGGGATCCCCCTGCTTCAGCCTCCCAAAGTGTTGGGATTAGAAGTGTGAGCCACTACACCCAGCCCAATGGTGACACTTTAAAATGACACTGTTCCATGGTGAAGAAGTAGCAAACACACAATGAAAGTAACACTGATGTCCTTTTAGACATGTTGAGTCTAGAAAAGGTGATACATCCTTGCGATCAGGCCTAGCAGGCAGAAGAATTTCAAAAGTTCTCCTGGCAAGGAAAATGAAGCCTGCCTTTCTAAAACTTCTACTATTTAATTCTTTCTTTCACACAATAGTCTTTTCCTAATTTTTAATTTTTGTGGATACATAGTAGGTATATACATTCACATAATGGTCTTTAAATATGTGAAAACAGTTTTGGTGGACAAGATAAATTTCTTTTTTTCGCTCTCTCAGGCTAAGTATTTCCATTTTCTTTAACTCTTCCTTAGATAAAGGATTTAATTCATTAACAATATTGAAAATAACCATAAGGTTGAATGACCACTTGCTACAGATTTATAAAAGGTATTCACATAATGTTTGGTTGAGTTAGGTCGGTGACTTTCAAATATTTTTTCCATTATCAAAGTAAGAAATATATTTCACAAAACCACCCAGTAAAGAAGTACCTGTGTGGGAGTGTGTATGTAAACTCACACTAATGTCACCCTCACTATGAGATGCACTCTGATAATTTGTGTCTTCTCTAATTCATTTTTTAAATTAGCTGGTTGCCTCCACCTAAGTCAGTTTAAAAATCTATAAATGGAGCACACCTCACAGTTTGAAAAACACTGAGATTCTCCTTCACAAGGAAGGAGTAGGTGTTGATTTGAATGGACTCTAATCAGCTGTCTTAAAGGTTAACAGTGTCATTGACCTATTCTCTTCTCTTTCACTCTATGTGTTAAGTAGACCCCTGTCCTGGAGTCTATCCTCATATTCTCCTCCAGACTTATCTGAGTCAACAGATTCCAAGAATTAGATTCATTAGAAAAAGTAGGAAGCCCTACTTAGGGCTTGCCCCTAAATGTATATTCTCTAGCTAAGCTTTACCAGGATGGTATGCACAGCAATACAAGACCCCTGGTAGCCAGGCATGGTGGCTCACGCCTGTAATCCCAACACTTTGGGAGGCCAAGGCAGGCGGATCACAAGGTCAGGAGATCGAGACCATCCTGGCTAACACAGTGAAACCCCATCTATAAAAAAACACAAAAAATTAGCTGGGTGTGGTGGCGGGTGCCTGTAGTCCCAGCTACTCGGGAGGCTGAGGCAGAAGATTGGCGTGAACCTGGGAGGCGGAGCTTGCAGTGAGCCAAGATTGCACCACTGCACTCCAGCCTAGGTGACAGAGCAAGACTCCATCTCAAAAAAAAAAAAAGAAGACCCCTGGCTATTCATAAAGTCAGATTCTAATTTTGTAAGATATTCTTACAAAGGAAACCCTTGGTTTTTTACAGAGTTGGGGAAGGAGTAGGGTGAGCACTAAGGCAGAAAATAGACACTCCTGAGGCTCTGGCTGTAATACAATTGCAATAGCACAAAAATCTCTTCTAGAATCACTCATGTAAACACAACATCATTTTCCTTCATGTGGGTGTAGGATCTGCAATGTGTTCCTATTATCATATCACTTCTGCTTCTCTCCTTTCAGGTTACCTAATGGTGTCACAGGCTTGTCTCCATCTGCAGTACAGCTCAATATTTACTTGATATCATGAGTTACTTCCTATCACTTTCTCATAGACCAATATCTCCAAGTCCTAGACCAGTGCTAACGGAACTCTCTGCAATAATACACATGTTCCATATTTGTGCTGCCAAAGTTGGCAGCTATTAGCCACATGTGGCTACTGAGCCCTTGAAATGTTGCAAATATGACTGAGGAAGTGGATTTTTATTTCATTTTAATTCATTTAAACAATAATTTAAATAACAATGTGTGGCTAGTAGCTACCATATTGGCACCCTAGTTCTTGACGAGGAGTCAGGAAACCTAAACGATCAGATAGTAAATATTTTAGGCTTTGTGGGGTACACAGTCTCTGTGGCAACTAGCTGATTCTGCCACAGTGGCATGAAAGCGGCCACAGACAATCCAGAAATGAATGAGCACCACTGTGTTTCAGTAAAACTTTATTTACAGAAATGAGTAGCAGGACCAATTTAGCCTGAGGGCCAGAGCTTGCCAACCCCTGTTCCAGGCTGTCACAACTCGGGGATATAGCTATAGTATTACATTAATTTACTGAACTTAACAGGTTTATCGCCTAATTTTTAACCCATATTCCATATATTGACATATATTCATAGGAGGTGAAGGGTATTTATCAAAGATCCTATTATCTTTCCTTTTTTTTTTTTTCATTTAGTTCTTATGTTTAGATCTGTAATGGGTACAGGTGCAGAGTTCTCACATGCATGTATGTGTAGTAGTGAAGTCTGGGCTTTCAACGTACCCATCATCTGAATAGTGAACTGTGCTCCACACCCTATTTTTATAGTGAATTACTAGGCAATACCTCCACTTAAAATTTTCTTTCTAATGTTCTCAGCAGTCATCAGTTGTACACTAGGGGCCTCTTCACTTTAAAATCCTTACTCACAAGACTGGCAGGTGTCCGGACAAATACATTCTTTCCAATCTCCCTAAGACGCAATGAGTCTAAAGCCAAAAATACCTGATTCTGGCCATAGTATAAAAACCCCACCTATTCTTCAACATGATCCCTGTAGTCAGTTTTTCTCATCCCATGCCTTGTTCTCACTCCCAAGGTCCCACCTTAAATGGTGAAAGAAAGGAACACACTTCTTGTGTGCCCTAGTCCTTCAAGCTCTGCCTCGATACATCACAGATGATAGAGGAGGTTTCCAGATCTCTTTCGGCAATACCCTCTACCATACAGGAATTAGCTGGGATGGGTCATGGTCAAGGGGCTTGGCAAGCTCATCTCACTGACTCTCCATCCAGGTACTCCTCCCAGGAAGACTAAGCACCCTCTTTCTGACTGGTCATCCAGGGTCTACATGTGACGACCTGCAGATCTCCCTCAATAACGTGCCCTCCACATAAAGACAAGTCCCTTCTTTCTGGAGCTAGTTATGCTTTTTCTCACAACTGCTTCTCCTTGTGCACATCTCCCTTGAGAATTTTTCACTTACCATTAAGATGAAGATTCTCTAGGGTAAACATATCAGCTATAATAGATCTGCAATACCACAAACGCTGAGAAACATCAGTAAACGACAGAGCTGCAGATGAGGATCATCCAGGCAGCATGGCCACGTGCTGGGTCTGAGTCTTACTAACCCTGCACCTGAAGCACACCTGGTCCTCAGCAATCTCCTCTCTGAATCAGGCTGACCTCTCAGTCTCTGGGTGTTTATGCAGATTAGATAAAATAATAGTTAAAGACATATGACAGTATTAAGACCTCAATAAATGCTAGCTCCTTTTCCTTTCTCCCTATGTTAATGAAAATAAGTGACTTTAAACAAGAATTTTTTAAAAGGTCACAAAATATAATTATGGAAAGGAATTAGGACCAAAATATTATTTTGCATGATCCTTTGTGCCCCATAATGACACACTTTATTTTCAGTAAATTTAGTAAAATATGATAACTTGACCTTCACCAAAATAAAATTTCAAGTGACTCAATTTAATTATTCTGGCAGTATATTTTAACATGGATTTTAGACCTTTCACATACTTTGTGGACTGTCATTTTATATCAGTGAAGTGTAAAGCGGCAATGTTAGAGGCCATCTCAGTTTGACGACACTAGCAGAATCTCAGATTGGATCCACTTACTTTGACATGAAAGCGCCACATCTTATTCTTGCATCGCTTCCCTCAGGGAACAGCAGCTCTGGACTGTACAATACATCAACCAACACTGAGAATTCAGCCTGCATCATTGGGCTGAACTGGTGCTCCAAGGAGGCCACTACATCCTAGGGAATGAAACACAGGAGAACCCACGTGAAGGCCTAAGTCAGATTTCATCTTTCAAAGATAAGACAAGCCTAAGAATACTAATGGGAATTTTATAGATTACCCCCTCTATTTCCATAGCACCACATGTCTGTGCCATGATTATAGTCTGGTTTTATGTATGAATACTGCCTGAGTCTCTATTTGTGCGTGCGTGTGTGTGTGTGTGCGCATGTGTGTGTGTCATTTACAAGATAAGGGAGGGACAGGTAGTTATTTCTAAGGATATACACCTATAAGAGGAAAAGTCAGTTAGGCCACTGTATGTGCCCTGCAGTGCCTAGGATTATAATGGAAACATGACAGGTACTCATTACAATGCAATAAATTAGGGGCATACCCAGGGAACAGCTTAAAAAAAAAAAAAAAAAAAAGATTTCCAGTCAGGTGCAGGGCCTCATGCATGTAATCCCAGTACTTTGGGAGGCCGAGGCAGGTGGATTCCATGAGGCCAGGATTTGGGGACCAGCCTGGTCAACATGATGAAACCCTGTCTCTACTAAAAATACAAAAAATGAGCTGGGCTTGGTGATGTGCGCCTGTGGTCCCAGCTACTCAGGAGGCTAAGGTGGGAGAATCATCTGAGCCTAGGAGGTGGAGGTTGCAGTGACCCAAGATAGCGCCATTGCACTCCAGCCTGGGTGACAGAGCGAAACCCTATCTCAAATTAAATAAATAAATAAATAAATAAATTCCCATGGATCATTGGTTATTCAAAACGAATCATTTCATCCAATGGGGAAACTCACTGAAATATTATTTGAAGCAATATTAGTACTATACATGGATTCAATGACATTCAACAGAATTTCAAATTATATTTTTTGAGAGACCCTATTGGTCACCTACCCAACAGCCTTTCTTTACCCTCTTCCTTGCTACCAGAATCTCAACGTCATTTCTGAGTCAAGCAACAATATTCTCAGAGGATGAGCCCCCTCAGCTTACGGTCGAGGTTGATTACTCTAAGGCAGGCATGGTTATACCATTTCCACCTCTAGCAAGTTGTCTAGGCATGATTATGTGACACAGTCCCAGTCAATGAGACATCAGGTGAAGTCAGCTGAGAGAGTGGGGTACGTGTTGCGGGTGGGGAGGTTCTTTCATAACCACCTACTGCTCTCAAGGCAGCTTGAGGGTGTGAATCCAAAATCTAAGACAGCCCTCATGTTACCCTGGGAGACCAGCATTAAGCTGAATGCCTACAGACCTTTGGTTTTAGGGGCCCAGGTCTACAATTAGCAAACTCAAGGAGAGCCACAGTTCCAGGTTTCTTGCTATGTTAAATGATATGGTCTTTATTATTTAAGTCACTTTTAGTTGAATGCTGTGTTAATTAAAGCTGAAAGCATCTTAACTGATATGTTTCTAAAATGAACCACAGGTAATTATAATTTCCCAAACATTCTTTAATGGTTAAAGCACCCCCATTTTATTTTTAAACTATGTTAGAAGAAAAAAAAAAAACTTCTTACATAAAAGAACAATTTATTCACCCATAGCTATGGTGTATTTTTATTAAGCAGAACATTGCCAATTGCTTATTGTCACTCTTAGCTACAGAAGCACAGATGGGGATGTCACCCTCTTGATTTCTTATGAATTATGTTAATTCGTGTTTTAACTCTTTCTCTTTCTGCAAAAGTGATTATTTCTACTTCAACCACTCTAAATAAGCTTTCTGAGAAATGTCTGAAAACAATTAAAAGAGAGTAAAGGGAAATAGCATAAAGGGGAAAACTAGATATTATATAAAAGTGGGGAGAGTATGTTTATCAAATATGACCATATTTAATAAAATGTCCCTGTTGTTTAGATTACCTCTTCTTTGTTTCATCTACTAAAGAAATAGTGCTCAGGCTGCTATGATATGAATTCTGTCTTTAACTCTAATTTTGGTCATGAGGCAACTATGCAACCTCCCTAGGTCATTGTTTCCCCATGTGAAAGCTTAGGATGATACTAACAATCACATAAGCTTGCTGCAAGGATTAAAGGTAAGTGCATAGAACATCCTCTAACACACACTAGCCACTTACTCCCTATAAATACTAGTAATCTTTACTACTGAGCACGAGTTAGCTGTGATCATCACCCAAACTCGGTGGTTTACTTGCTTGTCTTCATCTTAATCACTGCTAAGCATTTTACACGCTGGTTTCTGCTCTTTGAAACACTTTCTGCTCTTGACGTCTATGACATCACACTTTATTTTCCACCTATGTCCTTACTATTTCTTCATCAACTCCTGATAGCTCCTGCTCCTTTCCTCTTTGATATCTACACTTTCTTCTGAAAAATCTCGTCCAATTCTATGGTTTTAATATCATCTATATGTTGGAACTCCCACATTTATATTTCCAGCATGGACATCTTTCCACTTCAGACTCATATATCAAACAGCCAAGTTGACACACTCAGGTACCTAAATAGGCATCTCAACTTTAAAATTCCCCAAATAGAACTGCTAATTTCAACTCAGCCCCAACCTCTTTCTCTCCCATTACTTCCTATCTTAGTAAATAACACAACCATATCATATCAAAACCAGAGTCATCCTTGATTCTTCTTTTCATTATCCTACAACACATCAATCGATTCCTCCACCAAGTTCTATTAGTTCTACAACTAAATATACACAAAATTAATACACTTCTCTGCATTACTACTGCAACCTCCTTAAGCCAAGCTACCATCACCTTTTGCCTGAATTAATGCAAAGCTACATAACTAGATTCACTGCTTCCATGTCTGGATCTTAGAAATATGCTTAGAATTCACAGTGATCTTTTAAAAAGTAAACCAAGTCAGCCCCTCCTCTGCTGAAAATCTTCAATGACTTGTTATCACACATAGAATACAATTAAAATGCCTTAATATGCGCCTTAATCTGTTCAGGCTGCTATAACAAAATACCATAAACTGAGTAGCTTATAAGCAACAGAAATTATTTCTTGTAGTTCTGGAGGCTGGGAAGTCCAAGATCAGGCACCAGCAGATTTGTTGTCTAGTGAGGATGCACTTTCTGGTTCATAGACGGTGCCTCTCTTGCTGTGTCCTCACATGGTGGAAGGGCTGAATGAGTTTGCATGGGCTTATTTTATAGGGACTCTAATCTCAACTCCCAGAAGACCTCACCTCCTAATACTATCACCATGGGGGTCAGAATTTCAGCATATGAATTTGGGGTGGGGGAGGACACAAACACTCAGGGCACAGCCACAGCACCATACAAGTCTACATGATTTGGCCCCTTATTTCATAATATTTTCTTCCTTTACTCACTAAACTCCTGCCCCAATGGGCTTTTCTTGGATCTTCAAACCCATCAGCCTCACTCCTGCCTAAGCACCTTTGCATTTCCTATTTCCTTCTCATAAAACTATCTGAACTCAAATCTTGGAATAGATTATTCATCTTCATTATTCAGGTGTCAACAAAACTGTTATCCTGGTAGAAATGAACTTCACAATTACAGGGTCATTCTTTCAGTAATTCTCCACCATATTGTTACCTTTGCTCTATTTTATTCACTGTAGTTTTAATTATCCAACAATTTATCAATTATTTAATGAGTTAAAATGCATGTCCCAGAAGAGCATAGACCCCATGGCTCTCTCTTTAGCACTTCACACAGTGGCTAGTATAGAATTTTCACTAAATAAATACTTACTTAATGGATATCAATCTATTAAAAGAAGTTTACTAAAAGAAGTTTAAGGCACACCCTCTCTGTGCTGGTTGACACTACTATATACCTCTCCTCTGAAACGTTCCACTCCCTTTGCTCTCCTGACCCTCCTCCTCTCTGACGTGCTTTTTTTTTCCCCACTCTTTATGTGGGCCATTCTGCTACTCTTAGCCTCACATAGGGTGTTCTTTTTTTTTCTATCACTGTATTTTCTCTTTTAGCAATACCAACCACTATCCTTGCTCCAACTATTATCTTCAAATATAGACTTAACTTCCAATATACTCAGTAGCCTGCTACCCTAGTTCACTGCATTTTCCATTGCCCTCCTATTGCGTTCTCTTCTCCTCTGCTCTTACAACAAACAGTCTTAATAATACTATCTAGTCTCCAATCAACAGGGCCTCTTAAACTCCTCTCATGCCCGCTCTCTACTTCCATCTAAGAGCCTCCAGGTCTGCTGACCCTGCCTTCATTACTATCTGTAACACTCATTTCTTCATTTCATCCATATCACCACTTGGCTTAGATCTTAAGTAACTTCTCACTAGTCGCTCTTCCTCTAGTCTCTTTTTGATAACCCTATCCTACAAATCAAGAACCACTTATAATGGCATTTTCCCCCAAATTTTTAATGTCTCACACCCTTTAGGTTTCTCATACTCTCTGAATCTAACTTGTGTTTCTAACCCCATATAACACTCATCTACATGTGACTTCTCATAATATTTATTTCAGTTAATGTCTTGGCCATTTTGTAGGAAAAAAAAAACCTTCTTCAAATTATATCCCAATTCAACTCCACGTAATGTGCTACTACTAATTATGTGAATGGGAAGATGTCTGTTATGGGCTGTATTATAACTCCCCTGGATTTCGTATGTTGAAAGCCTAACTCACAGTACCTCAGAATGTGACTCTATTTAGAGCTAGGGTTTTCAAAAGTGTAATTAAGAAAAAATGAGTTCATATGAGCAGGCCCTAATCCAACATAACTGGTATCCTTATAAGAAGAAGGGATTAGGACACAGACATGTACAAACACAGAGGAAAGAGCCTATGAGGACACAGCAGGAAGTCAGCCATCGGCAAGCCCAGGAGAGAAGCCTCAGGAGAAAGCATACCTGCTGATACCTTGATCTTGGACTTCTAGCCTTCAGAACTATGAGAAAATAAACTGCTGTTGTTTAAACCACCAAGTCTGTGACATTCTGCAACAGCAGCCCTGGCAAACTAATATAATTTCCAGGCCAAAATCAAGAGTGAGTACTATACAAGTCATTTGGGAGCAAGGTGCTTGGATCGTTCTGACCAAAGGATTAGAAGGGAATACTGAAACATAAGTTGAAGCAAGGCTATGAATATTGAGTTTCTTTACCAGTGTTATCATGGTATTATGATTATTATTTTGGTATTAAGACCTACTATTCACTACCATACTATCAAAACACAGTAATTAATATACACTCATTAAAAAGTAACTCACAACATATGTAAGCTATATGTTTAAAAAGAGCAGTGGTAGTAGAGAGTTGTAAAGTAAGGTCTGGTCCCCAAATAGAACTTGATATTTTTAGCCATATTTTATTTATGTGACTACATATTCTTTAAAAAGTGTAATTTAGAAAATATGAATGCTATTTCATGCTCTCATGTACCTGTAACTTTTCAATAATATTTCTGTAATCCCAAGAAGGCCCTCCAAGAGCTTCCTTAAAGCGTGGCCCAGAACGAGCTGATAGTCTCCAACCCATTGCTGCTCTCTGCACCATATTTGAATGGCTCTTCATGAAAAGAGTATTAACTTGGCCGTCCAAATCCACTGGAATGGCAATTCCACGATTTTTTGCTGAAAAAGAAAGATTTAAAATATTTCCCTCTTAATTTGACTAAAGTTTCTTACACATTATCCATACAATCTTATAAACATAAAGGAAATAATATTAAATCTTTAAACTCTGCCAATAACTTGTTTTATATAACTGTAAAAGCTTCTAACCTGAATGTATTTCATTTCTTAAGACCAATTAGTGAAGTGGGTACATGAAACATTCAAGAACTTATTTGATTTCTTAATGATTCATGCTTGAAATGTACTTTATACAGCATCAATACAGAAAAACGCTGTATAACAACCAGCATATTTGTACCTTCCCAGATGCCAATATAAATAAGAAAGCAGACATAAAACACATGATATAATTCTTCCACTCCATTCATTAATTTAAGTAGTGCTTGTGTGCACACAAAATTGTACGTGATGAAACATCTGAGAATAGAAATAAAAAGTTGAAGAGTGTAAAAAATCTGTATTGGAAGAGGGCACATCTTAATATGTGTCTTTCTTCCCAAGATCCACTCAAATTTATATTTTAACAAGTTTACATCACATTAATACTGAAAATTGAGAATGCCTGTCACAAAGAAAGGAGTAATGTTGAAGCATTTCTGCAAGGCAAAATGAAGATGGGATTAGTCCATCAGAGAAAGAAGAGAAGAAACTGCCCCACAGGAGATTAGAGTTAGAAAAGGTCTTTCCAGGTGCGCAGTCAACCAAAACAAAGGGTTGGGCAGGGATATGGGCAACTGATTAAAGAATAACAGCTGAACAGCTGGGAAGCTAAGGCCCTCCTCCCTCTGATTGGCATAGACAGAGCAGTTGGCAGAAGCAGTTTTTACCCAGAGGATAAAGTCAGAGAAATGAAGAAATGTTCTCTCAAGAAAGTAGAATACCTGACTGGAGAGAATGCCAAATGAAGACGTTAGAACTTGATAGAGAAGCAGAATGGAGCTTGAAGTAACGCCAGAGATCAAGTAAGAGGTAAAATGTGGGCCAGGCGAGGTGGCTCACGCAGGTAATCCCAGCACTCTGGGAGGCCAAGGCGGGCGGATCACGAGGTCAGGAGATCGAGACCATCCTGGACAACATACTACTAAAAATACAAAAATTAACCGGGTGTGGTGGTGCGTGCCTGTAATCCCAGCTACTCGGGAAGCTGAGGCAGGAGAATTGCTTAAACCCAGTAGGCGGAGGTTGTACGCCATGCACTGCAGCCTAGCGACAGAGCCAGACTCCATTTCAAAAAAAAAAAAAAGACGTAGAATGTGGGGAGAGAGAAGAGGCAGCACCAGCAGAGAGAGGAAATATATTAAATTCTCCAACTCCTGAGCAAAGCCCTCCTTACTTTAACACTTACTGGTGTTCCCAGCCTGACCTCTGCTATACACACACATGCATATATGCACGCCTGTGCGCGCACACATACACACACACACAGCCTGAAGGGAAGTCTGCATGTCATTTGGTCAGCCTTTGGCCTCTCATACAGAATTCCAGGTCAGCCCTGTCATTTACACAAGAATTCTAGGAAGGAAACAGGCCTTTAAAACTGCAGTGGAAACCTATGCCAGTCATTACGGACTTTCCTAACTACAAACACACCACCAAGGATCACAAGGAAAACCAATACCATTAAGAATAACTAATCCTAGTGAAAACAGGGATGACTCAAGGAAAAGCAAAAAATATTTAAATAATCCTAAGTATTGTCCTCAGAGAATTTGAAAATATACTGCATCCAAAAAATTAGAAAGTCAGAAAGAAGAATGACATCTTAGAAATTAAAATGTGATTGCATACATAAACATGTCAAAAACTGGCTGAAAAACAATTGATAGAAACACAGTTGGTAATCTGGAAAGGAAGTCAAGGAATCTTCTAAAAATTAAGCATAAAATATCAAAACGGAGAATAAAACAGAGAGATCGTGAAATAAAGAGGGTCAACCCAGGAATTTAAACATCTAACAAATATAAGTTCCAGAAAGAAACAGCAAATACAATGTGAGAGAAGAAATTATTAAGAAAACAATAGAAGACAACTTCCTTGAGCTTAAGACACATGTACATATCCAAATTGAAAAGGTCCCCAATATGTTAAACAGGATTAAGTAAGTATATTGGCCATATTCTGGTAGAACTTTAGAATGCTGTTGTGGGTTGAACTGCATCCCCAAAAAGTATATGTTGAAGTATTAATCATCACTCCCTCTGACTGTGACCTTATTTGGAAATAGGGTCTTTGCAGATGTAATCAAGTTAAGTTGAGGTCATACTGAATCACCGTGGGCACCAATCCAATTCAACTGGTGTCCTTATAAGAAGGGAAGGAGAGACACAGAAAAATACCTGAGGGACACACACAATGTGAAGATGGAGGCAGAGACTGGATTTATACAGCTGCAAGCCAAAGAATGCCAAAGACTGTTAGCAAACCCCAGAAGCTAAGAGAAAGGCATGGAACGAATTCTTCCCTGGAGCCTTCAGAGAGAGCATGGTGTTGATGACACTTTGATTCCAGACTCCTAGTCTCCAAATTATGAGAAGGTAAAATTTCTGTTGTTTTGAGCTACACAGTTATGCTAATTTACGGCCAGCTGTAGAAACTACACTAATGTTGACAGTATGGAGAAAATCTCAAGTACTTCCAGAGAGAAAAGATGATTCCTAAAAAGAATCTGACCAGCATCAGACTTATCATCAGCATTGAATGCTAAAAGATAGAATACCTTTATAGATGAAAAATTTTGATAAAAGGACTTTATGTCCATCTAAACTAAAAATCAAATGTAATTCCCAAACAAAAACATTAGAAAAATATGTAAAGCCTCAGAAATTCTTCAATGAATCCACCATGAAAAATTTTTAAAAAGAGCAAATAGTTTTTAAATGTCTACATGGGTATGAGAAACTATGGCAACTAAGTATGAACCTGAAGAAGAAAATAAAGTTAGAAACAAATGAAAAAAGATCCATGAGCTATTTCCATGGTTAGGAAATTCTCTTCTACTTGGAAAAGTTTTAATATCATAGTGCTACATTTTTGTCCTAAATGGTTATAGCAGAGCTATATAGATCATATTTAAACTTATAATGATAGTCCCCAGAAGGCTTACTTATTTTAGAAGGAAGGGATAAAAAAATTGGAAGGATGGATGGATGGATAGATAGATAGATAGATAGATAGATAATCTGGCTTGCTTCACATGATGAAAGGAAAGCAAATAGTAGATAATATTACCAGCTGGTGAAAATTCTCTGAAGCTTAAAGATACTCAAAAACTTGTTTGAAAATAGACAATTTGCTGGATGCAGTGGTAGCCTCAGCTATTCAGGAGGCTGAGTCAGGTGGATCACTTGAGTCTGGGAGTTTGAGGCTGTAGTGCACTATGATATGAATAGCCACTGCATCTAGCCTGGGCAACACAGCAAAACCCTGTCTCTAAAAACGAAAGAAGAGAAGAGAGGGGAGAGGGAAGAAGGAGAGGGGAAAGGGAAGTGGGAGAGGGGAGAGGGGAGAGGGGACGGGAGAGGAAGGGAGGAGAGGGGAGGGGAGGAGAGGGGAGGGAAGGGGAGAAGAAGAGGAAAGGAGAAGGATAGGAAAGGGAGAGGAGGAGGAGAGGGATAGTAGTAGGAGAGGGAGAGGAAGAGGAGAGGGACAGGAGGAGGAGAGGGAGAGGAGGAGGAGAGAGAGAGGAGAAGGAGAGGAGAGGAGAAGGAGAGGAAAGAGGAGAGGTGAGAGGAGAGGAGAGGGAGAGGAGAAGGAGAAGTGAAGAGAAGGAGGAGAAAAGAGGAGAGGTGAGAGGAGAGGAGAAGGAGAGGAAAGAGGAGAGGTGAGAGGAGAGGAGAGGGAGAGGAGAAGGAGAAGTGAAGAGAAGGAGGAGAAAAGAGGAGAGGTGAGAGGAGAGGACAGGGAGATGGAGGGGACAGGGAGGGGACAGGAAGATGGAGAGGAGAGGGAGAGGGAGAGGAGAAGGAGAAGGGGAAGGGGAAGGAGGAGAAGGAAGAAGAGAGGTGAGAGGAGAGGAGAGGAAAGGAGAGGGAGAGGGAGAGAAGAAGGAGAGGAGAAGAAGGAGGAGAGGAGAGGGAGAGGGAAAGAAGAAGGAGAGGAGAAGGAAGAGGAGAGGAGAGGAGAGGGAAGGGGAGGGGGGGGAGGGGAGGGGAGGGAGAGGAGAAAGAGAGGAAGAGGAGAGGAGAGGAAAAGAGAAGAGAGCAGGGGAGAGGAGAGGAGGAGGAGGGAGAGGAGGAGGAAGAAGGAGTGGAGGAGGAGGAGAGAGTGGAGGAGGACCAGGAGAGGAAAGAGGAGAGGAGAAGGATAAGGAGAACAGGAGAGGAGAGGAAAAGGAAAGGAAAAGAAAGGAAGATAGAAAATAGATAATTTTCACTAGCCACACCAAAAACATTTACCAATTTAGATAAAAACTCATGCTGCAGTTTTATAGAAATAGTAACAGCTACAAGGCAACCTTAAACAATCAGTTTCACCACTGCTTAAATTTCCCTAGTAAATGTTTTCCTAATATTCATGATAAGTTTCTCTTTCCCAAGCATGCAATATCTCTGTTTATGTCCTTCACACACAGCAATGCAATTGCACTTCTGTCTCATCTGAAGAACAGACGGCCTCAACTCTGCCAAGCAGCGCATAGTTTTATGAATACTTAATCCTGCACCATGATCAAATCCTGGCAAGATTTTCATCCTTTTCTGGCTGCTTCACACATAAACTGGGTTTGCTCTAAACATTCAAAAATCAAACAGAAGACAATACTACTTCTATGTTATTTTCTAAGCAACAAAAATAACAAAAATTATAAACTTCAGTGTTTCTCAAAACATGTTACAAAACCAGTTTCCACTGACATTTAAACAAATTGGGGAGGAGATTGGGATTTATCTGCCCTTCAGGAATCAGGTACATTAGGTGAAATTGACCATCAAATAAGTGTTGTTGCTATGAAGATGACTTACACAAAGAAGCGCTCAATGAATATTTTTCTAATGACGCCA